AGTGTGTCATACGGATACATCAAAGTGGAACCCAAAGCACTTGGCCTTCCTAGTACTCAAGGTCAAACCTGGAACTGTTCCAATCTGCCACTTCCTTCCTGAGGATCGTGTCGTCTGGGTTTCAAACTAGATCTCTGCAAAAATAGAATGTGCACCTGTTAGATTTCTGTTCAGTTTGTGCTCTTTGGACTGTTATTATATTGGACTGTTATAGTATGAACCCTACTTTGTAAGGTACCCCCCCCCCCCCCCACATGTGCACACGGGTGTAGTAATAAGCTTAGCATGATGAGAGCAGATATGCATATTGTTTGGAATAGATATTCTGTTCTCACCATTTGGCACCACCTCAATACTTATATCCAGATTCTTTGTTGCTAATGTCTAAAACTTTTACATACAAATATAATTCTACACTTATAAATTGATAAAACACAGGATAACATATATGCTCCAAATGTTATGCCCTAGGAGATTTCATTGTTTTACACAACAAAACTCATATATATCAATGAAATTTAGAAATTTTTAAATTTTTTAAAATTACTTTTTGTCTTAAAATGTCGAAATGTATAATTTATACCAAGTTCTAAAAGAAAGTTTGGTTGACAGGAACCGTTTATCTGTTTTTATTTCAGTTTTCAACCCCTGGAGAAAGAAAATAAAAATAAGGTATATTGCCTTTTTACTCGGTTGATTTTAATAAATAAAGTGAAGATGAAATATTAATTTTTTAATAAAAATCCCATTTTTTGTTTCACTTTTTTACAAAATATTTTTACATTTCATTTTGAACGCAGTACACTCAGAAAAATACAAACTTTACATCTTTAGAACCTAAAATATAAAATAAAGAATTCCTTGCAAAACTAAGGAAATTAAGAGAGCAAACGGCCCTCTCTCACTATTTTGTCTTCTTTCTCTTTCTCTCCCTTTTTCGCTCGTACTGAAAAGACTTAAACTGTTCTATTATTTAATGTAATTTAATTAAGATTTATTTAAGTATTCTTATTCTTATTTAAGATGATTGCAACCTAAATAATAAATTTAAGTCCTTTCATTCTATTTTGAGAATTGGGCTTATTTGAAAACTTATTTGAGTTTTATTTTCTAATTTTCAAGGTATAGATATTTTGAGTCCATTTGATTACAAAAGGCCTGTCTCTACAGTCCAAATGACATGAGAAATTATCAGTAAAGAGAAAGGATAAAATTATAATTTGATTTGACAAAGAGATAGAAATAAAGTCTCCTACAAAGAGATATATAAGAGGGATAATTTTCAAAGGGAGCTTTTTGAATTACAAAAAATTCAGAATTTTTTTGAGAGAAGATTGAAGAGAAAAGGGATTTCAATCTTCAAAAAGACAAAAGTCACTTTTGTGAGAGAATGTTTCTGTACAATCTTTTCAAGGTTTCAGATTTGTTTCCTAATATTTAATTTCTTTATTAGATTCTAGATTTAAATTTTGATTCTTGAATTAGATCAAATGTTTTTAATAAATTTCTATTTGATTTTGTTTTAAGCATAGATTAATTCATTGTTCTAGGTTTCAACAGAACTTAGCATGTAATTTAGATTTCTAATTTATTTTTTAAATTTTATCAAGTTTTAAATTATTTATTCATCCTTGTGTTTAATGCTTTCAATTATCTAGTCAATAGTTGAATTGATTGTTGGAAAAACTATATTTAATTTAACACATAAGATTGAATAACTTATATCAATTTAATTTCATGCAGGATTAAATTAATTTGCGTACATGATTGGAATGTACCTACTCAACTTAGGTAGCAAAATGTTAGAATCTCAACTTAATGAATCTATTAATTTTGAATTACATAGGAATATACTAATTTAAATTTAATTAGGTATTTTTATAATATTTTGAGAGAAAATTATGAATAATTTAGAATTTCACGTTAACACTTTTAGTTTATTTATAAGTCAGAAAATTAATAAAAGACTTTCAAATGAAGTGTTAAGAGAAATTGAAACTCCAAGACTTTTTCTATTGACTTTTCTAGAAATTTGTGAATTGAGTTGAAATTATTTTCTTAATTTTATTTTTAATTTATTAATCTTTAACTTTAAATTAAATATTTTGATAGAATTGAATTGTGTTAATTTTAGTCATTAGTATTTAATTTTAAGTTAATTTCTCGTGAGAATGGTACTCTATTTATTACTATATTATTTGTTCTGATACGTATAGTTGTATGTAAAAAAAAAAAAACATGTACCAAACACAATTAATTGGCTGTCGTTTTTAGTTTATAATTCTATAATACAAATAAATTTGACAAATACCACCAATTAATACGTCAATACTCTAAGTTTTTCAGTTCAACAATATTGCAACTATACATATATAGCATTGATAATTGGCCGCCTTCAAGGCTTTTCAAACCGACAAGCTGGTTGAGAATTAAAACTGCATTAAATCATGTCGACATCTCCTCCTGTCTTAAAATAAATAAATAACTAAAGAAATATTAACAGCTTCATTTTGGAAAATGTTTCTGTTCCTGTTCTGAATTTATCTTGACTATGTTTTTAAAAACACAAAACATTAAAAATCTTGAATTCTCTATTGTTTTCAAATATGCTTTTTTGAGGAGAAGTCTCAAATGGGTTTTATATTTCCGTAAACATAAAGCTAATTTCAAAAACAAAAGTTCCAAACAGGCATAACATTCCAATTTTAGTTTCTTCAAATCGTTTGAACGGATGGAGTGTCGCCTGAATTCTTCATGGATGACTCTCCACATATGAAAAAAGTCCATTGAAATAAGTTGTTTTTCTTATAGTACAAAAAAGTTGCCTCTTAGTACTACAGCTCAACACCTTGCTAGGGCTTTTTAAAAATCTATGGAAGATGGAATGCCACTCTCAAACATGCCCTAGTTACCACATACTTGTTTAATGCTTGATTTAATTTACAATTTTAGCTACCTCCCCTTTTGGCGTTTTTCGATTGGAAAAAAAAAATGTAGACATATAAAAAACAAAGTTTGAGACGGAAATAGGAAGTGCACAGATCCAATACTTAATTAATTAACTTGGAAATTAAATGATATAAAATTCTTTCTATTTCTAAGGAATGTGGCAACAAGGTAGAGGATGAAGCAAATTATATTAATATAGAATAAGACGGAATAAATTAATGCTGCTGGTTAAACATGACAGATCTAAATATAAACAATAATCTAAATAATATTTTCTTACTTAGTACTCAATATTATCCACATGCTTACACAAGTGTTCTCAAGAAAAATATCATGCATGGATGCTAGAATACAAATGTGTTTATAAAAGATGTTTCTCAACCTCCCACTCAACCCTAATAAATTTTTAGGTGGTTTCTTGTTAAGGCTGATGGAAGAAAAGTCCAATTTGCTAACTACTTAATTTTTGCTTGTTTTGTAATATGTGAACCGAATTTGAATTATGAGAATCTGATGCATGACATGTTAATATAACGCAGATATATTGATAAAAATTCATTTTATATGAATTTGTGGCCCTAAAATAACCTTATTTAATTCTAAAATGACGTGTTAAATTTTTGATAAGACTTTTAAGAAATTTTAATACACACAAAAATTTAAAATAAATTATAATAAAAGCATGATATGAAACACAAATTGCCCCCCCACCCCCCACCCCCCTCTCTCTCTCTATAAATCAGTCAAATTAGCAAGTGTGTAGTAGGGCAGGATAGCACATGGTAAAGCACATTGAATGTTTGGAAGCAAGGGGCAGTTGGAGAAATAAAGCCAGTCGGAAATATTGGTGATATGCTGCTTTTGCTTGACATTCCCCAGATCTTGGCTTATAAATATCCCAACCTACCTATTCTCTTCCTCCCATGTAATATTTTAAGCTTTGATTTCACTTCTCTCATAATAGCTTTCCTTTGCAGTTCCACAGCTCCAATGGAGTTCCACCACCTATCCATCTTTGCTCTTCTGTCTGTAAGTTTCTTATCCTCCAAATCCACAAGCCAAAACAAAGTTCCTACCTCTTTCTTGCATGGGATAGGATTGCTCTTGCCCATTCTTTCTCTGTTGGCTGTTTGTTTGCTGGCTTCTTTAAAAGACTTAATTCTTTAGTTATGGAACAAAATAATAGATTCTTTTTTTTTTTTTTTTTGTGCATGTTTGGTTGCTCAGCGTAATGTTGGTTTTTTTATGTTGGATATCACTTACCAAAAGAGTTCAGAAAGACAAAAAAGTCCTCAATGGGAGCACTTTCAAAAGAGCTACCTTCTTAAATCTTCCCGAGATATGGGTCGTCATCTAGGCTCTCCAAAGCATAGGGCTCTTCTATGAAGTACATTCTTGGATAAACAAAAATTATTAATTCTAGCATCTTGTGTGTGTGTGTGTGTCTCTCTCTCTCTCTCTTTTTCTCATATATATATATATATATATATATCGTTGTGTATATAATCAATGTGAGAAGCTAACGGGAGTTCACTTGTATGCTTGATGCTTCAGCTGGCACTGGTTGCATGCCATGCAGCCCTATCACCAGAGGCCTACTGGAATTCAAAATTGCCAAACACTCGCATGCCCGATGCCATTAAGGAACTTTTAGACCCTGGTTTATCTCTCTCTCTCTCTCTCTCTCTCTCTCTCTCTCTGGTTTTTTCAGCTTCCTTTTGTAAAGCAATAAGATCCGATTTTTGAAAATTTGTAAATCATAAAAGTTGAGATTTTTTTATGGTAGAAGTGTGTGCTGGTGAAGAGTCAATAAGTTGTAAATCAGAAAACTTGAGATTTCATGATGGTAGAAGTGTGTACTGGTGAAGAGCCTACAAGTTGTTTTTGGAGAAAAAGAAAAGGTTGAGTATATGTTATTACAACGGTTGAAATTCACTGGCAAGATCACCTTGTTCAAACCGCTGGGGCCTATTTTGGTTGTCTCCTCATAGTGGACTTAGTCAATTGGGGCTTAACTATTTCAGGAAAGTCCCAACCGCCCTTGCACATTTATGCTGGTTGTTGGGGCAGCCGTTGTGTTGGTTGTGAGGGTACTCCCTTCATCTCTCATGTGAGGAGGTTCACATAATAGAGCGGTGTGTCTCACCTCTCTATATATAAGATCTGAAAATATTACTCTAATACTTAGTATTAAAAAAATTATTTATTAAATTATACAAACCACTTTAAATATAAATAAAGGAAGGTTTAGGGGATCTCAATACTTCCACTCGAAGAATCTATATAGTAATTTTAATTTTTTTGTAAAAAATATAAATAATAATTACGATTACAATTTTTTATAAATAATTTTTAAAATAAATTATTTTTTTATTTTCTAAACTTATTTTATGTAAGTTTATTATTTCTAAAATCATTTTTCTAAAACCTAATTTTCGCAAACTTACTTCCCCTAAATCGGCTATCAAACAAGGTTAACCCTACGTGTAATTAAATATTCTTTAATTATTTAATTTATAGTGAAAAGTACTAAATTTTCAAAAAAAAGACGGTATGGAAAATTACAAAATTGATCTCTGAAATTTTGAAAGGAAAAAGGAAAAGTTGAATATCGGATTTACATAGATTTCAAATGTTACTATATGCAAATAAGTCGTTGTACATATTTAATATTTTTAAATTGGGTGATTTGTATAATGCACTCTTAAATTCTAATTCTTTGCACTTTACACCTTAATACTCTTTGATTCTTTACCTTATTAGGATGTAAAGTGCAAAGAATTAAAATTTAAGGGTGTATTATGCAAATAAGTCTTTTTAAATTTAATATGTTTTTTTAAAAATAAGTATTTCTATAATTTTTTCTTTTTCGCCCAATTTTATTTATAATTCTACAAATGACTTGAAAAGAGAGAAAAGGGAGAAAATGATAAATAATTAAATATCAGAGGAGTAAAATACTGAAACTTTGGCAATGCATTTCTTCATTTTGTCAGGAGGAATAAAAAAAGGAAGAGAAAATTTATGTGGTTAATTTGAAGGTTTACAGTTTCAAGAACTGGTTTTATTATCTTACGAAAAATTTCTATCACGTTTTCGTCTCCATCCCATGGATTTTGAAACATCACAGAAAAGCCCTTTCACAATTCTGTACAATCACAAGAACTTTAAGTAGTTGCTGCTTATTTTGCAGAGTGGTCAGAAGACAAGAGCACGAATGTAGACGTGGGTTCCAAGGGAGTAGGAGTAAACGCTGGAGAGCCCGGCAAAGGAGCCAATGTCCAAGTTGGGGGAAAAGGTGTGTCCGTCTCCGCCGGCCCCAAGAAAAAACCCGTATACGTCGGAGTACCAGGACCCTCCCCATTCATCTACCAATACGCTGCCGAAGAAATCAACTCCATGATAACCCCAACGTGGCTCTATTCTTTCTGGAGAAAGACCTCACACAACGCAGAAAGTTGACCCTGCACTTCACTAGAACTGCCAACACAGCCTCTTTCTTACCTCGTCAGGAAGCTGAGAAGATACCCTTTTCGTCCAACAAGTTCCCGGATATTCTAGACCACTTTTCAGTGAAACCCAACTCGGTGGCAGCAAAGACAATGAAGCAAACAATTAAGGAATGTGAAGAGCCCGGCATTGAAGGAGAGGAAAAGTATTGTGCAACTTCATTGGAGTCAATGATTGATTTTAGCACCTCTGGAAATGGAAAGAATCACATTGCAATCTCCACCGAGGCAAAGGAAACTCCGGCGCAGAAGTACAGTATTGTCGGAGTGAAGAAGATGGGAAATAGTGAAGCTGTGGTGTGCCACAAGCAGAACTACCCGTACGCTGTGTTTTATTGCCACAAGACATACACCACGAAAGCATACCTGGTTTCCATGGTAGGTGAAGATGGCACAAAGGTGAAAGCGGCGGCAGTGTGTCATACAGATACATCAAAGTGGAACCCGAAGCATTTGGCTTTCCTTGTCCTCAAGGTCAAATCTGGAACTGTTCCAATCTGCCACTTCCTTCCTGAGGATCATGTCGTCTGGGTTTCGAACTAGGTCTCTGCGAAAATAGAATGTGCCCCTGTTATATTTCTATTCCGTTCCTGCTGTTTCGACTGTTGTAGTATTGGACTACGATTGTATTAAACCCTACTTTGTAAGATACCACTCTGCCCCCCCCCCCCCCCCCCCCAAACCCCAATCTCACCCTCACACATGCACACGGGTGTAGTAATAAGCTTAGCATGATGACAGCATTTATGCATATTTCTTGGTAATAGATATTCTGTTCTTAGAACTTGGCATCACTTCAATACTCTTAAATTGCACAATGCCTGTTGGTATGGCAGCCAAATTTCCTTTAAGATTATTACAACATTGAATATTACAGCAAGAAGGAGGCCATTGGGAACTCCTGAAATGAATAGAGATCCTCCAATACAATGGGACAGAACGTAAAATTGAATACAGGCAGAAAGATACAATTGGGAAGGGCCTACGCTGCTGACTTGACATGGTCACACCGAATAGTTCATTAAGTGGAATTATTTATTCTTTCTTGTTTTCTATTTCATATTACTTGGTTTCGGACTACAATCCTAGTAGTAGGACGATTGCTATGTTATACATACTTGGAAAACTCTTCCGTTATTAAATTTGGCTAATGAATGCATTTTAAAAGCATTTCCAACATATTGGGAGTTTACTGGATGTTACCTTTGATTTTACCTCACTGATTCAGCTCAATAATTCGTGAATCGTGATTCCAATAGAGAGCCAAGCACATAAATCAACAAAAAAGAAAAAAAGATCACATCAATGCCAAGTTCATAGATGCTATACAACATAGTGTTGGGTGTTCTGTGTATGAAAGAACACTAAAAATTCTATAATCTCTTTTTTAAATTTTATTGTCTTTAAACACAGCAAAGTATTTATACAGAGTTAAAACAGAACATTATAGTAGTGACTTATACATGACTCAACGTACTGCTATACAAAAATTTAGCAGTTACTCTTACCAAGTTCATTGAAGAAGTTTGACATCCTTCATTCTCCCATCTCCTGAAGAATTTTGGGGTGGTGCTGCTGCTTCTGCTGTCTGTTTGTTGAACAGATTTCCTACAAAGCATCTGTGTAGCATTACGCCCAAGAAAGGATGGAGTACATGTAAGCCAAGGATTGATCACTTGAGAATTTTTGGTTGTGTTGCATATGCCAAAATTCAAGAAGGAAAGAGAACTAAGCTTGAAGATAAAAGTCAGAAATGTATTCTGTTGGGATATGCAGAGAATTCTTTTGGCTATAAATTGCACAATACTCTAAGAAAGTAGTAACGTCTAGAAGAGTCCAGTTTGATAAAGAGCAGTTATGGAATTGGAGTGATGACGGTCAGCAGCAGTAACAACTTGTTTTAGAAGAAGAACAAGAAAGAGACAATGAAATTAGTGAGCAGGCTATGCCAGCATCAGCACCTCCTTAAGTTGAAATTCGGTCATCTCCAAATAGTTCTTCTAGTTGACCTCCAAGGGAGACAGAGCATTCAGTAGATACATAATTTCGTACAAAGGATTGATTTGATCATGATTTTAGTATGCTATAGTTTTTATAGGTTGTGATCCATTGACATTTGAATGTGTTCATCAAAAAGCTAATTGGAGGAAGGCCGTGGAAGAGGAAATGAATGCTATTAAGAGAAATAATACTTGGGAGCTCACTACACAAGGACACAAAGCTATTTCTGTTAGGTGGGTGTTCAAAAGGAAAGGAAATGCACGAGGAGAGGTGGAAAAATAGAAGGCTAGGTTGGTGGCAAAGGGCTACAAGCAGCAATATGGAGTAGATTATGAAGAAGTGTCTGCACCGGTAGCTCGACTTGAAATGGTGATGCTCTAGAAGCTCAAAAGAAGTGGAAATTGTTCCAAATTGATGTAAAGTCAGCTTTTCTTAATGGCTATCGTGAAGAAGTGTATATAGAGCAGCCACTAGACTTCATGGACAAGACGAGAAGGTTTGTAAACTAAACAAATCTCTCTACAGGCTGAAACAAGTGCTGCGAGCATGGAATTCTAGAATTGATGCTTATTTTGTGCAGAATGGTTTCCCCAAGTGTCCTTATGAGCATGCCCTGTATGTGAAAACAAGCAATCAAGGGGATTTTTTCTTTGTTTGCATATGTTGACGATATGAAATTTTAAGGTAATAATCTCTCCAGGATTGATGAATTTAAGCAGTGTATGGTGAAGGAGTTTGAACTGAAAATTTGGGACTCATGGCTTATTTTTTAGGAATTGAAATAAAGCAAGGGGCCACTGGGATTTTCATCTTATAAGCAAGATATACAGCAGAGATTTTGAAGAAGTTTGCTGTGGAAGATAGTCAACCAGTTGATACTCCAGTAAAGTGTGGCATCAAGCTGACAAAAGGAGGAGCACACTACCAGAAAAAAAAAAAGCCTTTTAGTGACTGCAGTAGCGGTTATTAAATACAAAGGAAAGTAATCACTGAATGAATCAGTGATCGTATTTATGACCGATAAAGTCGATTGGAAAAAGGCTCGTCACTAATCCTCAGTAACCACAAACTACGGTCATAGTTGTGACCGCAGTTTTGGGAGTCACTAATTTGGGTCACAATTTGTGACCCTTTTCTGGGGTCACTAATTTTTGACTATTTATATATTTTTTTAATAAAAAAAAATAAATACACATTATCAATTAATAATCATATTAAATTAATTATTATTTTTTATATATAGGTCATAAAAAAAGTTACTAATTTCACAATTTTTGTGAGATCACTAATTACAATTTTTATAATTTACAAATTACTCATTCAACATAAAAGAATATAATTCCTATAATATACATTCATCATTTCAATCCTCAATCACCACAAACAAACATAAAAAATAATTAAAAATCATAATACATGTAATTTTATATGTCAAATTGTTAAATAATACAAATACATTCTTAATATTCAAAAAATGTACTCTTAGTAATTACATAGAGAGTAACCCAGTAAACTTTTCTCCATGCATTCCCTTCTTAGCTGGGTTCTCCTTCTAATCTACTTTTCCATCAATGATCTAATCTGGTTTCTTTTGCAAAAATAAGATAAGAAAATAAATTAACTACCAGTATAAAATTTCAAATATGAAATGAAATGAGAAGAAAATGAAGAATAAAGAGGTTTCAACTTTGTGTAAATAAATTTGTCTTATTCTCTCATTTATTTTTCAAACCATTCAATTAACTAATCAGTTTCAACCCTCTAAAACATATCTAGTGCCCATAACAGAGAAAAATTAAAAAAATGAATTACCCACACAGTCCCCACGTGTAACATCACTCTAAACAATTTTTCTAACAAAACTTTATAAACCTGTAAACTTGGGAACACTCACCCGTGCATTTGAAGGAAAGACTAAAACAGAGATATTGGATAAAACAAAATTGTTTGCTAACCTTCCGGTGGCTATTTACAAAAGTTAAGTATAAAACAGATGACAAGAGTAACTAGACTTAAGGAGAGACAATAACTTATCTTTCAAGCTTCAAAATAGGGAAGATAATAGTTCATAGAGGTAACCAAACAAACTAATCTTCTCCCTTGATAGCTTAGCTATGAACTATAGCAAACCTAGGCCATCTATTATGCTTATCTCTCTGTATTCAACCAAACTTCTCACTAGATAGCTTTTTTTTTTTTTGTAGAGAAAATCATGAACTAGGAAAGATGAAAACCCAGTTTTGGAATGGAGTGTTACATGTAGGGTCTAGACATTTGGATTAAATAACTCAATTTCAGGAAGAGAGAAAATGGGAGGAGGGGAAAACTAAAAACAAAGAGAGAGTAAGAGAGAGAGAGAGAGAGAGGAGGGAAATGAAATTTTGGGGGATTCCAATTTCAATAAAAACATCTGAATTAGACAACCCAGTTTTGGGAAGAGTGAAGGCGGGAGGAGGGGAAAACTAAAAACAAAGAGAGAGTGAGAGAGTGAGAGGAGGGAAATGAAATTTTGGGGGTGTTGGGAAAATGAAAAATGGAGAGAGTGGAGTGAAAATTTTGGAAAAACAAGTTTTAATTTTATATCAGATTCTACAGGTTTCAGGTCAGCTTTCGACATTTTTATATTTTTTAGATTAGAATTCTCTTTTTTGATAGATTTTATCAAATTTTTTGTTTTTAAATAATTTATAATATATTTCAATTTAAAATACCCACAAAATTTTAAAAAAAATTATAGAAACTTAAAACCAAATATAAATTTAGTATTTAATTATAATGTTACACAAAATAGAATGAAATTAGATTTTAAAATTTGGGTTGGTTTATTTAATTTCAGTTAGGTTTGGTTTGGCTTGGTTTAAAAAAATAATCCAAAATTATGGTTTGGTTTGATTATTCTAAATCAGAAACCTAAATTTTGAAATATTTCTTCCTCATTAAAAATATTAATATGCAAATCCATATGTACATATATTTATATGAATACAGATTTAGATATATATATATATACTTGTATGCGTGCATAAACACACACATATATATGCTTATATACATGTACTTGTAACTAAACGGGACTCTGCTTGTAACTAGACGGAACTGTGCTTGTAACTGAACCAATTGATGTTTGTAAGACTTGAGCTTAGACTATATGCTTGTAACTAAATGAGACTATGCTTGCAACTGAACCAATTAATGTCTTTGAAACTTAGGTTTAAACTCGGTTCACAAAATAAAGATACATGCTTGTAATTGAACAAATATCTAGTTATAACTAAACGGGGCTCTGCTTGTAACTAAATGGAACTGTGTTTGTAACTGAACCAATTGATGCCTATGAGACTTGTGCTTAGACTATATGCTTATAACTGAACGGAGATTTACTTGTAACTAAACGGAGCTCTGCTTGTAACTGAATGGAGTTGTGCTTGTAACTTAACCAATCAATGTCTTTGAAACTTTGGCTTAAACTTGGTTCACAAAATAGAGATATATGCTTGTAATTAAACAGAGCTCTACTTGTAACTTGACGGAACTATGCTTGT